TATTGTTAAAATTGTATATTGTCAATTAAAAAAAGTTTATTAAGTAGAAATTTAACACTTAATAATACATATGTCTCTGAAAACAAAAATATTTGATAAAATAACTGCATTAGCATAGCAGGCGTAACGTAAGATAACGTGATTAACAAGAGCTCGTGATAATTTCACCCGGCCGCGGGGCAGGGCCTTTTCCTCAGAATGAATAACTCATAGTTCTGATATGTTGAAATATCAAGATCATCGACCTGGAATTTTAAAAGCAAAAGGGGTATATTATATGGTAACCGTAAACGTTGATTAAATTAACATATAAAGGTGCATATATATATATATGGAAGATTTTATAATTTTCTCGAAATTTAACAGAAAGTCAAATTAGGAGCGAAAAGAAGCGTAAAAGAAAACACAGCTACTTAAAAATCTGAAATTAATTTTAATTAAACACCAGCATAATTTTTACTATTTTGCGATGAAAACAAATGAAAAACGTTACTGCTCCACAGCGTAAAAAACTTTATATTACTTTACTATTCTTTTCTATATGTAAAGTTGAAATGCATAATGCATTTTCATAAATTAATTTATTTATATAAATTATTATAAATTGGCTAAATTAACAAGTCTATATGTATTGTGTAACTTATAATTGCTGACGAGAGTTGTATATATGAATATTTTCTCATTCTAAAATTTTTTAGCGAGCAATTATTGAGCTTTTTCTAATGAAACAGTTAAATGTTTATTATTCTAGTAAGACAAAATAATTACAATTATTTTAATAAATACAAATATAACTTAAAACGTAAAATCTGAAAGTTTTTATAATTAATATATTAGTACCTATAATATCTGTCTTTTCCATCTGACATATATATTTTTTTTTATCAGTTTCTGAATCACAGAATGGTATCGATTGAATTAAAAGGCGCAACTTTCACTAACGTAGACACAAAGGCGTATCACACATTAAAATAGCCACCGAATTCTTGTAGTTTGCCTTGATGGTCCTTCTCGGCTTACACACGCCTTACTATCGACCCTTGCGTGCAGCGAGGAATCGACGGTGATGGGTTAATTTATTTGACCCATGCTTGGCAGCAATTAGTGCTGAACGCGACGTTGAATAGAAATCTTTTTACGCGCATTGCGTCTACGATAGCGATAGAAATATACGCGATCATGACAATATATATAAGACAAAAGCAGATGTACATAGTAAAAACTTTCTTAACCCTATCTATATTTATAAAGAAAGACAATAATTAGGAAAGCCGATGAGTAAATGAGTAAATCGTAAAAGGATAATGACTTTACAAAATACTACAAAGAATAGTAACATAATTATGTTTCTAATTAGAAAATTTTGTTAAAAAATAAAATCAATATTAAGTAAACTAATTACTATGTACAGTTTCAGTGTGTAAATTTTGGTTAAGCAATTTCTTTATTTTATTCTTAAAATTAAAATTTAATAAAAAAAATGAGAAAAAAAGTAAATCTGCGATCCTGCCAGGATTCGAACCTGGAATCTTCTGATCCGTAGTCAGACGCGTTATCCGTTGCGCCACAGGACCGTCCTTGAATACAGCGTCTTTGTAAATGGTACAAAATTATCAAATTTATCATTTTTTATTATGAATTGTAAAATAATTATTTTTGTTTTGCCACTTGCAATAAAATTCAGCACCTCTAATTTATTTATCATATATTCTATCAATTTCTCTGCGCGCGCTGTGCATATTTCTTTGAATAATTTATAGAAATTAAATTATTACATTGCTTGAAAAATAATGATTAATAAGCTGTTTTTAAGCAATTGTAACTTAACGAGTTGCTAAGCGAGTTTTCAAATCATACATGATGCAAATCATACATGATGCAAATCATACATGATGCAAATCATACATAAAACAAAATCAATCAACAATAGAAACAACAACAAATTAGAATTATTAATAGAATTGTTAATTAACTAAAATAGAACAAAAAATTATTTAAATTAATATTTAATAAAAAATATATTGTATAAAAATCTCAAACACGTGTAGAAGCACATATATCACACAACGATATATTTAATGTAATACTGATTGTGAATTTAAGAATGATAATAGTATGATATAATTATTGTCTCTTTGATAAAAATTGCTTATATCAATTCAAATAATAGTAATTTTCCAAATTGCATGATATGAGATATAATTTGCCTTATCTACATTTTTCGCAATTAATAGATATCATTACCTTATCTGATATCAGTGTAGTGAACTATAAGTGAGCCAATTTTACGTAACATAAAGAGAGACTTAAAGATTGCTCACAAACAAAAATTACAAAATATTCACAAAAAAATATTAGACTGTAAAAGAAATTATGAATTCTATTATATAATCTTATTATATAATATTATATATATATTATTGCTAAAAACTTTCTTCCCAGCAAACATAAAGTAACAGTAACATAACATTAATGTTATGTAATTTCCCACTCAACAATATAATTATATTGCAGTTACGTTGTTGTGGGAAATTATAACATTGACGTTATGCTAGCTTGCGTTTACTGGGTTATTATTTAAACAATATTCTGATTAAATTTTAAACTTTATTTTTAAAGACATCGTAGACAATTATTAAATACTATTGATCAAATAATAAAATAAAATATTTTAGAATATGTATAAGCAACATGTGTTACAATTAAAATAATTAAAAAACATTTTCATGAAATATTTAATTTATGCTACAATAAGCTCGAAAAATATATTTTTTATGTATCAGAAGTAAAAAGAAAAGAATTATTTTGGCGTACCTACAGCTTCGAAAACCAAACTAACTATATTTAACCGGTTTGAATCTCTGCATGTAGCCTCTTAGGCCTGATTTACAATGTGCTTTTTGCATATTGTTTTTCGCTCTCTGCCTTTCGTATATTTTTGCTTTTTATGTCGCATGGAGTCAAGAAACACCGTGATTTACAATTTCTCTTTTTCGAATTTCCGAAGAAATATATGCCTTTACACAAAGGCAAAAAGGCAGAAAACAAAAATCGAAAAGCACATTGTAGATTGGGCTTTAGTGCTACCAGGATTAAAGATCCTTTTCTGCGGAGCACTGATTCATCCGAGCCCGTGCTCGAAGCCAGGTAAAGTCCTACCTGAACGGAAGATAACGAGATGACCCGACGCGCTGTTGTACGAGATGACTCAAACAGCTGGCTATTGCTTTAACGTCTGATATTTCTCGACGACGAATCAGAAATGTGATAGGATTGCTCAGCAAGATAGAGTTACCCCGCTGACGTTGCTCGTAGACGATATATGAACAGGATATTTAGCAGAGGTATTTTTCTCTGTTACTTTGTCTTCGATAGCTTAAGCGGTAATCTGTTATATATAGATTTAACAGGAATAATTAATCAGCGGAGAAGCGCAGGTTTCATTACGGTAGTTCTATATTTAGATCACGCGTCTAATCATACACTATTATATGAATGATTTACGATTCAGTGCATAGAATAAATAAAATTAACACAATAGTTTGTATGATAATGAGTTGTATAATAAATTGATGTATTAATTATTCTTCAACAATGTGGATTGCATTATTAAAAATACTGCTATCACACTGAAATATTTAATTATTTAATTGTCGATGAGCCTAAACTTCGTATTGGAATATTGTATAATAAAATCTCAAATATTGATAATATAAAATATTGGAAAAATATGTTTTTGTCTATGAATTTTACAAAGTTTTCGAAATAAATATTTTCACGAGAGTAAGTTAATTATATTGTTATTATTATTGTTTTCTTTAATTGATCGATTATATGCGTTATTAGTGTAACGGAAAAATTTCTTCAGCGGCATATATATCCAGAGTTTTCGGTTTCTTTCCATTCTGGTTTTCTTTCATTATGAACACAAAAGCAAAAATTCTTGGAATTTTTCTGTGTAGGAAAAATGTAACCAAAAAAAAGATTAGTTGGGGCCTCAGCATTTCGAGTTCGGTGAACATTGCTAATCATACTAATAATATCCTCATTGGTGATATTATTTATTTATCGCATAAATTATCGTATACCGTGATATTATTTATTTATGATATAATACTATCACATATTATCACATGATAACTACGCTGCCAGCGCATATCATAAGAATTGTGTTGTGCGTCTTTCAGAGTAAATGTTAAACGGCATGAGAATCTTGTGACATTGCACAAACTATGTTTGGATGTAGATGTTATCATTACATCACGTGAACTGACACTTTGTCACGCAACGTTGCGAACGTAAAAAAGTGTAGCAGCACAGTTTTTCGTCCATTTTCATTCATGGATTACGTCAGCTGGCGAACGTAACAATCCTTTGTGTCACTGACCCACAGAAGAAAATGTTAAAACTGATGCCGTATTTTTTTTGCATAACAGAATTATGGTAAATCTGTAATGATCGTGTCTTTGTTTATTTTTCACACCATTCTTTTTCTACAGCTTTGTTTAAAACAGAGATGGGAATTAGTTGCAACTTTCGGCTCGATTTTCTGATTGACGCCTACTGTTCCCTCCTTGCTGTTCGCATGCTAGCAACGAGTCACCAAACGCGCTAACAACGCCTGTAACTAACAATAAGATGCGTGATAGTCAGCCTCAGGAATGTCCATATCACAAATGCAACAAGATAATAAATATGAGACAATAAATTTCCACATCAGCTGTGAGGTACTATTATTGACGCATTCTTCAATAGTACAATAGTACCTCACAAGTGATGTGGAAATCTATATTTATTCCATATTTATTATCTTGTTGCATTTATAATATGGATATTCCTGAGGCTAAATATCGTGCACCTTAGTTACGCGCGTTGTTAGCGCGTTGGCGACACGTGGAAATGGATTTATGGTCTTTTATATTTTATTTCATATATGTTATAAATATTACTTTCATATTTCTAAAATTAAAATAATATTTATGAAATTATAAATATGTAAATAAAAATATTATTTAAGTCTTTTCAAGAAAATAACTTAATTTTTAACCATATGATGTCTCTTCCTTTACGTTTAATATTTGCAATTGATTCATTAATTAATATTTGTTTTGGATCGATTTTTATCCTTTCTTCATTGATTAATATATTGTCTTTTTCTTGTAGCATAAATAAAAAAAAAGACTTCGTTATATTCACAATTAATTATAATTTATATCTCAACTGATGCAATCAAGTTCTATTATATTTATTACGGCGTAAACTAATATCGGATTAAACATTCTTTCTATTTTAAATTCCAATCTTATCTATAATAAAGATATAGAAAAATAGATGTGAAATCAATCATAATCGATTTAATGCAACAAAAAAATTCCTCGAGTCTCACGCTTCCGCAGCATCAGTAGCCAGTCGCCATGGTAACAACCATGCGAAGAGTCATGTTGCTCCACGCTAAAGTGCACGACAGCACCCGAGCTCCATCGAAGTTCGCCGAACGCGTTGCGAGACGAGACCGAGAGCAACCGAACACACCGATCGTCAATGGTATAAAGTGGGAGCGCGTTGGTAAGATAGCCATGTGAAAGAGAGAGACGAAGATGGAAGACGCTAGGAGGGTGAGCAGGAGAATAGTCGGTGTTGTAGGTGGGGACGAGCTTCCCTGTCGTGCCGCAGAAGCAACGAGCAGTTCTCGGTTCCCGACCGGCCTGTAAGCGATGAGAGAAGGAAAGAGGGAATCGTGCAGCGTATGAGCAAGACGAAGAGGGGGAGAACTAGAGAGGACGAAATAGTGTGTGAGAGAAAGAGAGAAACAAAGAAAAGGGAGCAGCTCGTGGAACGCCGTGTGTCCTCGCGTGCTTGTGTCGCGTACGGCGTCTCCGGCGCAGCCATTACGACAGAGCCGCTCGGTGATGCTTGTAACGTCGTGTAGTGACGCGAACGTGACGATAGTGTGACCTGCTGTTGTGTTGCGCGCGCGCGAGAGAAGCGGATCGCCCGTCGTCGCCGTCGTATAGTACGGATGTAACAGAGCGCACGTGTGCGCGCGCGAGAGACCGAGCGAATTAACGTACGCCGATCTGTCGTCGTAGCTGGGGTTGCACGAGTGAGAACGAGGAAGCGCGGAAGCTGCCGAGCTCGACTCGAATGTGCACGACGGTGTCGCGTTGTGGGAAGGTGCAACGAGAGACTGTACGAAACGAATTCGGTTTGTGACCGGACTGCTGCGCTGGTCGGTGATCGGCCATATCGGTGAGAAATACGTGTGTCGTCGTGCGAGGAATCGAAAGAATTTATTAAAGCAAAAAAAGGAAGTAAGCTTTCGCCATCATGTTTGACGTGTTTGGTTCCGTGAAGGGGCTGCTGAAGCTCGATTCCGTGTGCATCGATAACAATGTGTTCCGGCTGCATTACAAAGCCACCGTGATCTTTCTGGTGATTTTCTCGTTATTGGTGACCTCCCGGCAATATATTGGCGATCCGATCGACTGCATTGTCGACGAGATACCGCTGCACGTGATGGACACCTACTGCTGGATTTACTCGACCTTTACGATTCCGGATCGGACCGGCATCGTCGGCAAGGACCTCGTACAGCCGGGCGTCGCCTCGCACATCGAGGGCGAGGACAATATAAAGTACCACAAATATTATCAGTGGGTCTGTTTTTGCCTCTTTTTCCAAGCAATTCTGTTTTACGTCCCGCGTTACCTGTGGAAGACGTGGGAGGGCGGCAGAATTAAGATGTTGGTGCTGGACCTCAACTGCCCGGTGGTCAGCGAGGATTGCAAAAGCGACCGGCGTAAGCTGCTGGTCGATTACTTCGTCTCGAATCTGCACTCGCAGAACTTTTACGCCTACCGTTTCTTCCTGTGCGAGTTGATGAATTTCGCCAACGTGATCGGCCAGATCTTCTTCATAGACTTCTTCCTAGACGGCGAGTTCACTACTTACGGCTCCGACGTGATCAAATTTACCGAACTGGAACCGGAGGAGCGCACCGATCCTATGTCCAAAGTGTTCCCGAAGGTGACGAAATGTACATTCCACAAATATGGTGCGTCCGGCACGGTACAGAAGTTCGACGGTCTCTGCGTGCTGCCGCTCAACATCGTCAACGAGAAGATTTACGTCTTCCTCTGGTTTTGGTTTATCATCCTGTCCGCCATGAGCGGCTTAAGTCTGCTGTACCGCCTGGCAGTGGTTAGCAGTCCGAAAATCCGACTGGTGCTGCTTCGTGCTCGCTCGCGTCTGTCGCCGCACGATCAAATCAAGATAATCAATGACAAGTTGCAGATCGGTGACTGGTTCGTCCTCTATCAGCTCGGCAAGAACATCGACCCGTTAGTTTACAAGCAGCTCATCGCTGACCTCGCGATCAAGCTTCAGGGCAAGGAGAATGTGTAACGCATTGCCAAGCGATCGGGAAGGGCCTTCTTCAAGGAGTCCTGAAGAAGTTTTCAAGAAGTCCTCCTATGGGTTCCTCGTCTTTTTCCCAAGCGACACTCCGCTCGATACAGCAAAGAGCGGAAGCGAAACGGTAGGACTGTCTCCAAATTAGGGACGAGAAAGAAAGAACGAAAGCTATTGCGATTAAGTATTAGGAAGACGAGGATTGGAGGAATTAGCGTCTTAGGCTAAATTGCACCGACGGTTTGGTCCAGCTAACTCTCGATTAATGATTCGCTATTTCCTTCTATACTATAATTTTATTCATAATATAGAAAAGGAAGAAGGCCAATTGAGAATTAATTTTAAACTTGGATCTTTAGCATCTCAAAGATCAAAGATTGGACTTTTATTTATTAATCTTGAATTAGCCTGACCAGCGTTAATTACATGAACTTGCAATAAACTTGTAATAACTTGCAATCGTATAGCTTTTTTCTAGAATGTGTAATAATGAGGCAAGATTTAGTCAATTGGGATTAATTTAATTGTTCAATTAAATTAACAAGGGTAGGTAATTAAATGTAGTTTAAATTGTAATTAAATATAGTTTATAAATAGATTAATAGCTAGTTCCGTTGTAGAATTCAAGTAGCTCTTCGCTTTTTTTCAATTTTGATTCCGAAATGAAACGAAAGTATCCGTTGAACTAAGGTCATTAACGTTGGTGCAATTGGGCCGCAATAGCTAGGTCAAGATTTTTACTATTTCGCCAATTCCTCTTTCACGTGAGTACACACTTCGCATTCGGCATTAGATTTGCAGTTAAGACAAAGCGCGCTGTTCGACGCCCCGCCTTCTTGCCTCTCCTCGTCTTCGCATTGAACTCTCCTCGTCTTCGGTTCCTTTCACCTACGCGGAGAGTTTCCCATCAATTTTTACAATCGCCCATTCCACATATTTCTACATCTGTCCGCTTCCTTTATTTTACTCCGCGCACTCTTAGTTTTTCCTTCAAACAAGAATCTATCTACTATCTACTATCATTATCGATATTTCATTTATTGTTTATTTATTCAATTTTAGAATGTTACTGCATTTGCAAAACTAATGGTAACAAGTGGAATTTGAAATTCTTACAACAAATATTCTTATTTTCATCGTTTAAATTATGCATATCTTTTTCAGTTTGATAAGCACTAAACATCACTTAACATATCACACAGTAATATAGAATATCTTCGAAATGAAGCTTTTCTGTGGAAAAAAACATTCAAGTTAATTTCAAAGAATAGAAATTATCATTTCTTTTAATTTATCTTTTTTTATAAATAATTTTCTGTCCAAAACACTTTTTTTCTTTACGTATATATTTACGAGGCAGTTCGAATTTTTGCCATGACATATAAACAATGAATTAATTAATCGCGCTGCTTAGCTATTCCTCCGCCGTTCAAATCACACAATTATTTGTCGTTATAATATAATTATTGCAATAAGAAATTAAGCTTAAGACGACTCTACTTGTAGTTTATCAAATTAATGCAAAACAGAGGTGCATTTAATGCGAAGATATAGCGGAGTTTGTTGCTCCCGCGAGTTTTCATCCACGCAATGCACTTTGCAGCAAAGTGTATATAATGCACAACGGATAAAGCCCCCTCAATCACGAACGTTCTGCACGCGGAGAATAAAAATCCAGTCTTCCGCGAAGCGCTTCACAGCGTTCGTTCTTCGCTTGCATTCCTTACGAGTTTCGCCTACCGCAGCAAACGTACGTTATTGTACATCGTGGAACGACCTGCCTTGTAAGAATATGCGCCGGACATGTAAGGAGAACCCAATGGAGTTTCACACCAATTATATATCGAAAATGCTGACCTATCTCAGGCCTATTTTTCCAAATCCAACAAAGGCCTTCGTTTTTCGACGAAAATGGAAAGAGTGTGGCACCTGTGAAAGAGCTTAAAAGAGCGTGAGGTCCTTCCGACCTTCGTTCATAGACTTGGATCGTGTGATAAAGCGAGGGACGGTGCTCTGTTTTATTCTTTTTTTTTTTTTCTTTTCTTTTTTCGTTCCATTGAACTGAGTAACGGTTTTTTAAGTTCAACGCAGAATGAGGTAAAACAATCGGAAGTATCCGATGATGAACTTATCGTAAAACATTCCTACGTGGAAATGTTTAACACGTGTATTTCTGAGTTTATGCCACGGAGCTTTCTCGCACAAGAAAATCGCACGCACCGTCCCCCGCGAACCCTAACTTTTTTTCTTTACGCTACTGGTTACTTTGATTTCTCTTATATCTAATAAATGTATCGTAGAAAATACGCATGTATCGTAGGTCGCTATGTGTGTAGAGAGAAAAAGTTTACTTGTACATGATATATGAGCGTACACGCAGAGAGAATGTGTGGGAGTGAGAGGGGGGAGGGAGTGAGAAAGGGAGAGCCGCGCGCGCGTGTATGGGTGTGCGTGTGTATGTGTAGAAATATTTGCGCGCGTCCGTCTTCGTATTTCATCATTCCACAAAAAAAAAGAGACATACGCACGATTTTGTACGCGCAGAACTAGATTATGACATTACAATTGTACGCCGATCAATGTTTTACAACGTAAAATTAAGATTTCCTTTTTATATAAATTTACAATATAAAAGTGATGCGTAATCGAGGGACCAAGCTACGAATATTCCTCACTTAATATCGACTTGTTTATCTTTATGGTATGTAAGACTGTACCATAAGCCAACAATTTAGTATTGTAATACCGTCGCGTTGTTTAATCACGATTTTTTACGAAATCTGTATCTAAATCATTCGTAAACGATGTCACGTGAACAACAAAATACGACTCTTGTTTTATTCCTCCATCGACATCACGTTTCAAGTGGTAGTTTAGATATTTCATATGTAAAAATAGATAAAAAAAAAGCGCTACTTTTCGCCGTTCGTATATTCTACACGTAGATTACACGCATGTCGTCGACGCTGTTTAATATCCTGCTGACGTGTTCACATGGAGTATCATATTATTAAACGAGCCGAGTACAGCGGCTCGTTTGTACCATCCGAGACAAACCAAAATGCGATGGCTTATGGTACCGTTATCAGAGTGATCTTTGCCTCGCGGGATTTGCGGATAAAAAAATTTATATCAGTTTTTGTCTTCGTTGATTTCACACTAAAGATAGTCAAGTTTTATTTGCAGTCGACTTAAGAATTTAATGCTTTAAAGCAGGATCGAATCATAATAATCAAAACTCGTGATCTATTTATTGAAAAACTGATATCGTTCAAGCTCTTACGATATCTTTTTATCTTGATCCTGTATTAACATAGTTGTATAAAAATGACATCATCATACTTCATTATTTGTTATGTATATAGTATACGACATTAAATAAAGATTTTTTCAAAAAAGAAAGATAAATTTATAAATGTGCAGTTTATGAACTATATTATTGAAAAAAAATAGTAGAAAATTTCTATAAGCCATCGATCTGACGTTGACGTATCACTATACTTTAATGGTATATCATGGCATTGTAACGCAACGTCAGTTCCGGTTTAAACCGTGTGAAACGTTCACTTTGTACGGTAAATATATGGAGAAAATACGGATGGACACTTGTAGCGCTAAGAAGTTATTAAAGGAGAAGAAACACGCGATGCGATTTTTATTATTCGCTTCTTTGCCATTTAGAAACATTTCTACGAGAGATCTATATGCTCAAAGTAAGACTGCCAAGTAATTGAAACATTCGTCGCCATGATTTTGTATCACATTTAGATGTGCATGCGAAGTAGAATTATTACGGAGGACACAACGCTTTTCGGTGTTATATCGCGTTACTTTCCTCGATGCTTCGTTGATTTTCAATTGGTGAACGCTAGAATTCGCATAATATTACTATATATTTCTCTCGCTTTGTTCACATTTTGCGGCGATAATAATTGTCTCAATCAGCATTGTCTTCGTTGCTTCAATGTTATTTCTTAGAAAATTGATTGTGACACTCGCGATGTACCTAATAAGTGCCTGGTTAGCGTTAGATATAAAGTGCATTCCTCTCAATAGCTAATTGACATTCCAATCGTTTTCGAATTTTTCCACCTTGCGAAATTTATTCGTGAAATACGAATTTCGGAGATTGAAAAATTTTCTAAATTTGATAGAGATTGAATTTTAGAAGAAATAAAAAAAAAGATTGCATATTCTTTTGACGGAAGATGTTAAAAATTAAATCGAAATAAAAAACGAAGTAAATATAAAAACACAGTCAAACTTATTTCAAACTACAGTGAAACGATTGAATAGAGATATTCTTAACTCACATATACTCGACTCAAGATATAGTTAGATGTATCACAACCAGAATTATACGCCGTATAACTGACCAGAAGTGCCTGCATCCTGCCAAGCGGAGATAAGAACTCTCGCTTCCTTTTGCTCGTGTTTTTACGACACCGCGTTGGTGGGTGCATAAATATTCGAAACGTGACAGATAGGACATTGTTTTATCGACATACATGTATTATTCTGTCCGATTTCTGTTTTTCTGGAAAAAAAAGGAAAGGATAGAGGAAAAATCATCCAAGCACATGTTCTCGTGCCTTCTACAACAGTGATAAGAGACAGAAAAGATATATATAAATAAATATATATATATATATATAAATATATCTTTTCTGTTTCTTATCACTGTTGCAATAGGCACGAAAACACGTGCTTGGAATGATTTTTTCTCTCATCTTTTCCTTTCTTTTCATGTATATGTATGAGTAGTATATTATATATTTTTCAATGCTAATTAGTAAAATGCGCACAAGTAATCGATGGCTACAGATACAGACGATACATCACCTTCTTTATACTGTGGAATTTTTTTTTTCTTTCGTCATTGATGTATCGGCGATATTTATAAGAATAAGAGTAGGGGATAATATATTATCTGCGATGATAGGGCTTAAGAAAAGTAGCCGAACACCATGTATACATTGTTTAACGGCGTTAAACAATACGTCACGAGTGTTTGTTATTCGTGATTCGGTAGAATTCTAACGAGTACTGATTTCGACGCCTGCACATGAGAAATATTCACTTTACGCCAATTATCATGTCTCCATCATCGCGAGATACATACAATTCCTTTTTTTCGCATTGGAATAGCGTCGAGATCTGATCTTGATGGAATTATATCGGTTCTTGCCACATTTTTAGTAAGGCGAAGAAAAAGACCAGCTGAGGAAACGAAGAACAATACATATCGCTGTATCAGTCGCATAGGAAATTATATTCTTATATATATCTTTTATACTTATTATTATCTTCGACCGCGCGTGATTCGTATGCGGCCAGAGAACACTGCCCTCCTAACGAATGAATGTTATATATACATATATATATATATTTTAATACAAAATGTTTTCTTGTGAAGTTAAACTAATAAATTTCAACGATTAAGTAACAATTTGTCGTTGATTGTTTTCTTAGTCATTTCCTTTTTGATAACAACGTGTCGCGTGGATTTTATATCATCGTCAATGGTAAGTATGGACGTGGGTGTAGAAGGAAAACTTGTTTATGGAATTCATTATAAATGGAATAAATAGCATGACTGGGTATTAAGAATTTGTTTTTTGTTTTATACATGAAAACAGCTTCTCAATCTTTTAAGTGTACGAACAGGTTCTTTGATGAATTTAAAGAAAGAATATTTTAAAATGTCACATTTATATCGCAATTTTAAGGAGAAAACATCAGTAGAAATATTTTTAAATATCTTGCTGATGCAACGTTGAGTTTAAATTATACATTCTGTGATATTTCGGATTATTTTGTTTTTTGATCTTATTTAGGAATTATGCAGCTATAAAAAAGTTTTTAAGTTATAAATAATGAATTTGAAAATAAATATACGCCATTGCTAATGCATATACATATATATTTTTTGTTCATTCTTTATAATACACTGGAATGCTTAAGAGCAAACGTTCACGAGCATCAGGTCTTGTTTTTTACATTCGGAATTAATGGGACGTTGAGTGAACGATCTAGCAATCAACAGGAGCAGCAATAACACGCAATAATTAAGATGCAAATGATAAAGCAGTCGTAAAGATCGCCGGAGACCGCGCTGGAAGCTAACTGATTAACTCGCCCTAATATTAGAAGCGACATGCCGCGACCTTAGCCGGATCGTAAATTGCACAAAACGGCGACCCTGCGCGATTCCAATCCACCTACACAGCCGCGGATTCCATTACGCGTCGCGGCACGAACGCGTAGGTGTGTATCCGCAACGAGGGGGCCTTTGCACGTGCGTGTGCTCTCCGTGATTAACATATGAGAGTCCGGAACACACGTTCGAGGTCCGAGCAATTGCAAATCGCTCCCTTCTGCCAGCGTCAGGTACGTTATTACACTTGAACCACATTAAGCGAACTGAATTTTCCCGCACGAGCACAATTGGTCGTTACATTCCGAAGGGCAAACCCAAATTCCGCCGTGAGGTATTTCGCTGTGCGCAATCCGAAACGCATTAGCGCGCATTAGCATTATTACTCGCGCGGGCTTTTATTTAATTAGTCGTTCTAATTGTCACTTATGCGATACTCGTTAAAACGCCAGTTAACGGTTTAGTCGAACTTGTAAATTTCGAATTTTTTTCCTTGAATTTATTCAACATCCACATTATTCTATGTTCATACAATCGAGAAAAATTGGGTTTAGTAAAAGCTTTCATCAGCGCAAGATACATCGTCGTCTCCGCCCAATGAATTCCTGCAGGAATTCTGCAGGAACGGCGAATCGCTCACGAACTTACAGGTAAGTGCTGACAGGAATGGATCGTCACACTTCGCTACGTGTTAAGTTTAAGATAAACTTTGAAAACGACAACAAAATATTTATCAGTTTTACATAGCGAACAATTGTATTCACGACATGTAGTGGCTTGCCGAAAATTTGCGTTTGTAAAGATGTTGCTATGATTCATCGTTGAGTCACGCTAAGTAAATTCGCCACGCAATTTCCTTTTCGTATCCACACGAATATGTCAATTAGCAATAACGCTATATATTTTGATTTATAGAAAGATATATATAGAAAACAATATAATTAGGAATAGAATTAAATACATTTTTATTAGTACCGATAACATCTCTGGTATCAGTACTCAGCACATTGAATTTTTTTATGAGTATTTGAGTACTGGAAACGCACAAAGTATTTATTCAGATCATAAATGTTTCAAAGATACCTGAACCTTTTATAAATATTAATGATTCAACGATAAATTGCAACATTTTAATATATGCTGCAGAATTTTTCGGTAGGCTACTTGTGCACGCAAAGAATACCTTTGCTGAAAGATTTAAAAATTGTGCCACATACAGATCTGGAAATAAATTTAGATGTTAGACAATCAAAATTTATCAATAGAACACTCAATCTTTTTTATATCGCAGCAAAATTCATATCGATAAATTTTGAATATCCAACAAAATTTATTTTCAGATTTGTATCTCTATAACTTTTAGATTTTTCAGCAAAAGTGTTCTTTCTATGTATAATATGTGCATTACTTTTTATTCCAACGCTCAAAATTTCGAATTAAAAAAGGAACTCACTGCGACAACATTCCAGCCATTCAAGCAGCCAATAAGAATGACAGGGTTATTCGAGGTGATATCTTTATTCTTGAAGTCGCATTTTTCTCTCGCTGTGCCGTACAGCACTTTTCATATGACTTCATCGTCGCGAAAGGCTGAAGTACCGACTTTCACAAATCATTGCGTTTCCATATTAATTTTTCAGGAAAATGTGATTTTATGCGACTGATTTATTTAATGGTCAAAATTCCGTTGGTTTCCGTGTAAATCCGTCCCTGAATAAATTTCGAATCGGTGTCTAGAAAGCACCGGTCAAGGCAAAGACCGACGAAGGAGATCGGCGATGGTGTGCTCCTGCAGTGTACTACGTGCCGCATACAACGTAGACGTGGAACGTGGACGTGGACGGGCGAGGACAGACCCTTTCTTTCGAGGACTCGTTCGTTCTGCCGGCGGCTCGCCGGGGCCAATGGCCGGTCAAAGTCCCACCTTCGACGTTTGCCAGTTCTGCCCCCTCGTCCTCCTCGTCCTCCTCGTCCGGTTGCCTCGTGCTCTTTTGCCGGTACAGCGGTCACATTTGGTGCTGACTTCCATAGCTCGCCGTCTCCTGCGCGGTCCGATGTCCGAATTTCTCGAACGTAATGTCCCGGCGAGAGGGGCGTCGTCAAATCGAAGCGGCGCGTTCACCGGCGATTTATCGCTCGAAGATCGGTCCGGAATAAATCTTGCCTCGCCAAACGATTAAAATTGATCCCATGATCGAAATTCATTATCGCGAATGATGAAGGCGAATCAGGCTCATTTCTATGAGCTACTCACTCTTTTATCAAATATTCAAATACAGCATCTTTTCTCTGGAACAACAAGAATAGCGCCTTAATGACAATAATGTTGAAAATGCTGAACCTCGCATTCATCCAACCAGTCCATCTAATACTTGTATGTCAGTATTCGTAATTCTCGGAAGAATTAACAATAAGCGAGCTTTATTCCGCAGCAACGTTTCTCAAACGTGACTCTGGGAACGGCAGAAAGTGAAGTTGGCTGCCGAGCGCGGCTAAATGAGCCTCCGATTAGCAACTGACACCTTGCATAAGCGCATGAATATGTAATGCACCTAGCGGGCACGGCGGACTCGAGTTACCTTTGTACGCTCGCGTATCACATCGTAGGTGGATATCGTGTCGTTCCTATGATTCGCTCGTTAATAGCTGGATTTGTAATTGGAGCTTGCTACACGCCGTGGAGCTAAATAATGCTTACCGAGAAGCTCGCAGAGGCGATCTTATAAATTCAATTTTAATTGATAGTCATCGCGCGTGACGTGTTCACGTGAACTGTTCATCAATAACACCCGCGGGAAATGATAATCTTTTCATAGGAAAACTTGGACTTCGCGAATAACTTATTACCTCTCGCGATTTAATCCGCCGACAAACGATCCGTGTGTAACATTACGACGCGCCATTGCGAGAGAAATTAAAGTTAAAGTACGTCTCCTTCATCTCCACTTGCCCCTTTAATTAATACATACTTCAAGTAGCCGAGTGAGCAAATCGTGAGCACAAGTCGTCAAGCGAACTTAAACCGTTTAAGATTAATTTATTCCACCGTCCCACCGTTACTCTTTGTCTCGCTGGATTTAGATCTTTATTGTTTACTCGCATCACGTTCCACTGCTGCGTACGAGTATGTTAATTTATTACGCAGTGACGGATTTGTACGAGGTTCCAATTGCGGGGGCTCTTCTGTCACGTGTTTACGTAACCACTTGTTTCCTAAAATTTTATAATTATTAATTGTACGTGTAATAAAATTTGTAAATATAATATACGCCAGTTCGGTGTATCGAGTGCGTTTTACTCTCAAGTCCTTTGCGAAGGAGGCGAACAAGCTCGCATCCTGCTTCCGAAAATGCTGTACGTCAAGTCGGTCACGTTACGCGTACGATATAACACGACCATCGCAGGTTTATTATTCCGATCTAGTCAGTTAACGTCAGATTACTGTCTGTTCGTTTTAGTATGCAGATCTGCGCGACGAATCGTCACAGAGAACATTTTCTTCGGGATAAATACCGTCTGTCACATGCGTGGCTACATGCATGGAGTTACACTGCGTGTAACGAGCGCATTATTATATCACAACTTCCTAATTTACTGGATGTCACATATGAATACCTTTTATAACGCCAGGCAATGCGTGTTACGTTACGCGGTACAATTGATACATAAATTTGCAGATATGTAGAACGGTACATCTGTCTAGCCTCCTTTACATTTCCAGACAGCCAAATGTTAGCAATGTTTGCAAATTGATTACAAATTTGGAGAATTATCATACTGCGACCTTACAAAGTTGAATGTATCAAAGATATCGTGATAGAAATGGAATTATACTTAATACGCTTTTACAAATATTAATGTAATTTACTTTTCCTCGTTTAGAAATATCCCTTTTAATTAGTATTTTACGAAAATAAAAAGTACGTACCATTTTTTTTATTATTACTTGAAATAGATTAGATAACTCTATCAGAAAAGAATATACATTATTCTTTAAGATATGATAAAACAATATTAAGCGTTTATGATAACAATATACTGTTTCTTGTCATGCTATCATTCTTAATTTTGATATTCACATATGACAGCTCTAACAATAAGTTTCATCTTTTTCTTTAGCGATTCAAGAACCTTTCGGAAAAGTCATTCAAGAATTAAAGAAAAATTATTTATATGTAATAATAGACAAAAATCTCCAGCGCAAATGTTTTTATAATAAGTACAAATAAGTAAAATATGTAAATAAGCGTGTAAATAAAGTGTGTTAATAAAAACTTTGTAAGTATATATTACATATCTGCACTTTAACACTTTAAAAAGATTATATTTTATAATCAACTCTAAAAAATTGCCAATATTTAATATAAAAATATCAAAATTTTAAAATTATGTTTTCTACTAAAATTTATTAAAACTGTTCGTAATATTCAAGGGCTTCTTTGCGATAATAAAACTGAATCGTAGTCGTAGATCAGTATCTAAACAATGTTCGTCACATTTCCGACAAGAGAATTGTCGTCAAAATCGAACATATCACAGTGTTACAGATGTATTATTTGCTCATTCGTGGTTATAACTCGTGACTATGTCCTCATGTCATTTAATTCCTCGCTATCTGCTCTTATCTGAACAAACGTCTTCATAATAATAACTTTTGATAATACTGAGTTTTGTGGAGCGTCCATAGTACTGCGTAATCATCTTTCTGATAACAGTTGTAAGAGATTTACTGCTTCAGAGTTTTCAGTGTATTCTCGATCGGTACTTTATATGGATTATACAAGTGTCGCTCATGCGCCAACTGTAATCGAAGTTGCGATATTCTCGACGACCACGAAGTCCGTCAATGTCGTGCAGAGACAAAAGTGACGCTTGTAGCGACATAGACGCGAGATTTTGCAAGTGTTCGGAACATAAATAGAAACATTAATTTTACTACCGGAAGAATTGTGGAAAATCAGTCAACATGGTGGACGCCCCCACCGTATTCGCTGCCTTCTCGGTTCTTAAAAATCACGTTAAATTCAAAATCAACCAAGATTTTGTAGCCATTGATAACCTCGGTAACAAATTTCTCGATCTTTATGATTTTTTTATATTGTTATGATTTCTATAAATATATAAAAAAATTGCAATTTGTGGTGCACGAAATTTAATTGTCGCAATTGTCATTCAATGACTTATCACTTTTTTATCTAAACGTGCCTATTTTGTGAGAATTATATATTTGATATTAAAAAACTAACTGTGAGATAAAAGCATACGTGACTGATTAGTTTTTAGATTACACTACCGGGCTACATTTCTGTTGCTTCTCGTTGGATCGATTCTCGTAACTTCCAGACAATTTATCGGAGAACATATAAGGTATATTTGCGGTAATTAAATAATTATTATATGATATATTTCAACATATAATAGACAATGAATTATTGCTATTTTGGAAAGATGTATCTCCGACACTTCTGTACCACCTCGTGTTATCGAGACCTTTTGCTTTTTCATGTCCACATATACTGTGGTAAGTCTAAAGTTTAATATTAATCATGAAAACGAACTATGTAATCTCGCTGCGATTGCAGATAATATTTGACAGCGATTTCTTGCCACGTATAAAGTAAATTTATATGTGTTTTTGTTATTTTACAAACAAAAAAGACTAAATTTTTTTCTATTTGCGTATCATACGTTAAATATAATATATCAAAACGAATTGGTTGAATTATAAATTTATTTTATAGATAGTTTATGTTCTAATTGTCATTGAAAAGATATTGTCTTTAATCGCAATCATATAATATGCTTTTATTATTAGTTTATCGCTAATAAATGAGTTGAGAAATTTTCTAAAAAACTTTCTAGGAAAGCATTTTTCATCGCAGTAATTTATTTTTCTGAGAAACATTTATACTTTTCCGTTATGCTTTCACACCATAGAAAAATTTACGAGAACTAATGGTTGAGAAATGCTGCAGCTATTTAAAATAAGATATATTTCACTTGGACATTATTCCATTATTTCAACTTACTTTTCAGGTGAAACATCTAAATGCCACAGCGGTGCTGGAAGGCGAATTGCCACATCCTGGCGTAGGACCAGCGTCGAAAAACGACCCTGTCATACATCATGCTTATTATCAATGGGTGCCTTTTGTCCTGTTCTTCCAAGCGCTTTTCTTTTACTTGCCGCACTACCTATGGCGAAAAATGGAAGGTTAAAGTTCGTTCCTATATACGCATCTCGTATACCTGCCGAGCTATCGCCGACGTTTACAACTGCGCACGTTTATCTCAAGCAGCGATTTAATTGTCATTAATCTTTCTTTACGTCATAATCTAATCACGCAATACTTGCACACAGCGTGTTATTTAAAACATCACATTATGCTATTTGCGAAGTTATTTTGCAATACCGGGAGACGCAGTAATAACCGGTAACAAGACAAGTTTTTTTTTTTAACGAAAATCCAAAAATCTGAATATCACGAGATGGAATCGTATTAGAAAAAAAGATCATTGCGATTGCTGAATTTCAGGTGGTCGGGTGCATATGTTAGTGTCGGGATTACATATGGCATCCATAGCGCTGAGCGAAACGGAGATTAAGGTGAACGATGATGTCAAGGTGCCTTCGAAGAAGGACCGTGACGATAAGATACAACAGATTCGCATCGGCTTTATAAATCGCTTGCACCTTAATCGTCCGTGGGCGTACGGTTTGGCTCTCTGCGAAGTTATGAACTTTACGAATGTGATCGTGCAAATTTTCGTAACCGACTGGTTCCTCGGAGGAGCCTTCTTGGGTCTCGGCCAATCGGTCACTGAGCCAGCGTCTAAGGATAAGCTAGACCCGCTCGATATAGTGTTCCCGAAGGTACTGTTTTTTATTGCCGTCTTTCTGTTTCACATATATTTGGTTAAAGGGATGCCCCTGGACTGTTTCCGATTGACGTTGAAATAGCGTCAACTATAATCGCTCGATGAATTGGGATGTTGATAGCTATAATGCTTATTTAATGCTACATGGATATTCCAATTATAATCTGACATCGTCATCAATCTTTGTATTTATATAAAAACGTTGTTAATAGTTTTAAAATGCAAAATCTTTTTCAACGGTTTATTGATCACCAAAAAGAATTGATAAGAAATTTACTTAACGCCTTTCGGAAAACTTCCTCGATTCTTCATTTATATTAATATTTAAATTTTATTATAAATCTTCATGTAATACATTGATAATTTACTTTGTTTTATCAATCGTGATTTTTTATACTTAATTTAAATTTACGTCTTTTAGCTATATATAGTAGTCTCTTTTTTTGCATTCGTTGGGAATAAAATTGTACTTATAAATATGTGATGCTGTTTTTAGGTAACTAAATGCATTTTTCATAAGTACGGCCCTTCGGGTACCATACAAAAGCACGATGCGTTGTGTGTGATGGCCCTGAACATCGTTAACGAGAAGATCTATACGGTCCTTTGGTTCTGGTTCATCATATTGGCAGTGATAACCGGTTTGGGACTGATTTGGAGACTGCTGACCATGATCCTTCACTCCAGGTTGCTAAATTTAGTCCCTACATATTTTTTCATCGTCGGCACGTTAATTGTAGTTAGCCACAATCTTTGCTGTATTGACTTCTTTCCTGAGAATTCTCGGTTGATGAATTTACAACTGTCACACATTACGTGCTTTTTTTCCTTTAAAATAATATTTTGCAGTTTTTTTCCGCACGATTTTTTCTCATCGTAAAATATTTGCACATATCTTATACAGAAAAATATCTATTTTTATATTAAATTTTGATTTAATATTTAATTTAATTTAATTTTTATTCATATTTGTTTCATAATTATGACGTTATACGTCTTAATAAAATTTAAGAATACACATTTTAACGCGTTCACGCCTGATGATGTATATACATGTCACCATAAATTTTAATAGCTGCCTATATAAAGGTATATATACGTCACATTATCATATGGTAATATTTTAATAGCTGCCTACGCGTATATATACATTAATTATGTTACGTAGAATTCGACTTTGGAACAGACGGATAATATAATACAATACAGACTTATATATATGTCATATTATATACATAATTGAATGATAAATATGACAGTGGTGACAAACTGTCCTCGGACGGTGAAGCAATTGATTAAAACGAGCTTCACGAAGTAAAGGTGCAAAAAATAACATATAAACGATACAGAAGAAGCAGAACATTAACATGTGGCTAACGTGAATATGGACCGCGATAAGCCCTCGTTATATAAATGATGATCGACAACGCTGTCACGGAACGGTTTCATTGCGGTTTTTCGCTTGCAGAAGTATGTCATTCAACAAGCTCGTGTTTTCCATGGCCTGTCCTGGAAAGTACAACCCGTGGAACGTGCTCAAAGTCACTAATGAGTATCATTTCGGCGACTGGCTGTTCTTGTACTACATCGCCAGAAATTTGGACAGTTACGTTTTCAAGGACCTTCTTCAACGATTGGCGGAGGATCTGGAGAACAGACATCAAACACGGTACAAAATCTTGCCTCTAGACGTAGAGGAGGAACTACTGAAGAAGCAAGAAGTTCTAGAAATTCCGGAGAATGAAAATATAGAGATGTATAAGACCGTCAAGTAATCTTTCATAAAAGGTATTAATTTTACAAGTTCGTAAAAGATCAAATTAATTACAATCTTTTTACAAGACATATTTTCGCACAAAGTTTGTGCTATAATCGACTCACTCGCAATTTTTTCTATTATTACAAATAAAATTCTAAGTTTAAAAAAATGCCTATTTTTTAATTAATTACTTAATTTAAAAATAAGTATTTTTTAAATTTAAAATCTTAATTTTAATTGCTTATTAATTGCTTATTAATTGCACACATTTAATTATACAAATGCATTTGTTTTTGTAATATAACCAACGTTAGTGCTAGCTAAGCTCAACAGAAATATAAAGAAAAATTGTTTTTTTTTTTATGAAGTCAATGTGAATGAGCTTAAAACTATTGCACAAAACTGCGTAATATTGCAGAAAAAATAAACTACATTAAGTAAAAGCGGTAAGAAGTTACATGCATCGTATATTGTCTCCATGTATGCATATATTTTCAATTGCGTGCATTTTGCGCGCATATTATAACACTGCCAAGCGAAAGATTGCCTCTTCGCATATAAACGTACTTTAGCGCGATTTACTGCGATTGTAGAATAATGCGTCTCGCGTGCATCACGGGATCGCATTTGTAGCCGTATGCGCGCTATGCATGACAAAACTATGTAACCGTATCCGATCATCTTTTAACTACCTCATACTGAAAACTCGCGTGTACATCATGTGCGATCGTATGTCGAGCACATGCGCGCGATACACATGTAAATACATCCGTACGTTGCACCGACCCGATAAACGACCCGACAATAGTTTGGATCGTTAAGTCGTTGGGTCTCTGATTGGAATTATGCGCCCTGACCTACTATCGACTAATCACGTTCGATCCATTTAGGTTTTATGGTACTTCTGCAGCTCTCGCTGGAATTGTTTGTCACAGTTATTACTACACTTGTAATTTTTTATCTGCGCACGACTTTGTAAAACAGCACATATTTATTTCTTTTTAATATCTTTTATTATATTTTTTGCGCGAATCACCTACAGTTGAATAATTGTATCAGCTGTAGAGATGGTTAGTTCTCGAGGTCAACACAAATAAATAAAAAGGAACAAACCTTTATAGTCGGAAGATGTATTTAAATTGTAGTTAGAAAACGTATTCGCGATGTAGATATACGCGATTGATATTCCATTTAAAGACTAACGAGCAGGGCGTGCGGCGCTCTTCAATGTTGCGAGATACTTAAGTCTATCCGGGTTCGCGGAACGCAGAAGAGTTTGTCCAAAAATCGACTCGAGAGTGCTTCCATTCGTCAGCCGCTCTGTGGGCCATTCTACAATGAGTCGCAAATGCGCCTAATTGAAAAGTGCTATTTCTGATTATTTCTAGTAAGAGCATTCGCGACGCGTTATAGAATGGTCTTATGTCAGCGCCTGAAAACGATCATCGACGCCCGGACGATTTGACGGGCCGTGTCATGTTTTGCTTGCTCGATGGCTCGATTGGTTGTTTATTATCTCGACCGTTCACAACACGACGAAAATATAATTTCCTCGCTCTTATATTATATTACATGCCTACACAGTAAAATTGTACAGTAAAAAGATATCTCTCTTTTTTTCATACACGGAAAGAACACTTTTGCTGAAAGATCTAAAAATTGTGCGAGAGACATAGAGTTGAAAATAAATTTTGTCGAACAATCAAAATCCATTTTCAGATCTGCATCTGTTCTCTTTGTATATTTTATAATATAAAACAAAATATTTATTTTTCTCGAAATTGTATCTTGAATATTTTATAATTGAATTCATACTCGAAGAAACTATCGAATCCTTTTTTTTATCTTCGAAATATTGTATTATAGTTCGCAATTAAATTATAAACAAAAAATGTAAATTTGTAGAGACAATAAATAATTACATCGACATATAAGTATGGAAATAGATATCCCTAGTGCGCTCTCATGACAATTGTAACAGATTTGGGTCACAGCACTCGAAATCTTTATCACAGGGCGCTTAACAGGGTCCTTAGCTCTCGTTACAGAGAGCTTTTGTCTTCGTGCGGACGCATAGCGAGAAACCCGAGAATCCGGCCGTCGGGCTGGAGAATCATCACGGCCGGAAACTCCATTATATTCTCTAGGCCGGGAAATGACGAGAGCGACGAGAACAGAAAAAAAGAGAAGTCTACCAGGAAGCCTTGTGCACATGTTGTTGACGCACTTGATCTGTGGACCGTAATCAGCCGATCAAACTGGCAATCGCCGTTTATTTTCTTTGTCTCGCGTCAAACTCCGGCTGGGCTGAATCGGCGAAGTCAATCGATCGGCGCGATATCGAGGTTTATAGCGGCTGTTTCAGAAACAATGGGTACCTCTATAACAGAGCGTCTGGGCAAATGCGAGCGAGTGTCCCGTACAGAGAACCCGTACAGTATTGAAATGAGACTACAAATGAGAATAAAGACAGGAAAAATCAATACCCGCAGCTGTGAATCGGCACTTTTCTTATTCTCACTTAAAATTATTTTATTTATTCTAAATTCATTTTCAAGTACACTATAAAAAAAGACTTAGGTCACGTTTTATCTAGAATTCAACTAATTAGATAATGAATATTGGCGAATATTGATTTCTGATTGATCTTGTCGTGATCGGGTCTTGAAGCTAAATAATTTTTCACGTAGAAATACAATAAGATGCAAGATTTAATTTAATTTAAGATTAATCTTAGCTTTTTTATATCTTACGTAAAGTACATTTTTCGAAATGCAATTTTATAAAATGATATTTATCGAGTATACTAATAATTTTGCGTCAGTCTACTTAATTTTCTTCTAGTTAATTATATGATTTCAATTCCGTAGCTATTTCCGTGGAATAAACAGCTTTTTCACTGCCGACTACATTTTGTGTATAATAATGCAAATTTTATGATGTCGCGTTTGTTTGTCTTTAAAGCACTGTTTGAAGCGCTGTTTTATATTATAATTTTAGTCTCCACGATGAGTCGTCAAATATTTCAAACGTTATTCAAGCTTGGGACGCGTTAAAAAAAAATGATAAAAGGGAAGAAATATCAGGAGAGAGAAAAAAAAAAAAAACTAAAGGTCAGAAAGTCTGGAAAGCATCTGTGCGCTCAACCGCATAGATCCGGCTGCAATAAATATTCTGAAGCAATTATGTTTGGCATGTGGCGTTGTCGTTTGCAAATTAGTCGTATTTATATCTACGTTATAATATAAACCAGTTTTTAAACCAGTTTTTTGCAAAACACTTATATTCTTCAAATATTTCGTAAAAATGCTTCAGACGTTGTACAATATTTTCTAAAAACATCTAGAATTTTAATTCTTGTAAAAAATAAAAAATTTATTACATCAAAATATATCTTTTCGGCATTAATGTAGCATTGAGCCCAAGTAATGCGTGAATAGATTTGTGGAAGTCTGCCTTTGGAATCCCCTTGAGAATCCTTTGTCACGGCTGAATCCCTTTCATCGAAATTTTAAAGAAATTTTGAAAACAACAATAGATAAAGAGCGAGAATCTATTCAAATGATGAAGTGACGTTGGTGCAACTTTCTTAATGACAAATCTTCAATTGAAATATGTCTCCGTGTGCAATTGCAGTTAATATATGCCGAAGATGTGGACGCAATACAAAATGCGATTCATTTTTCGTCAGGCAATACACATCCACCGAATCTTCGTGAGAAAATTTTGATACATCCGCGCGATACATGATAAACGATATTTATATGCCATAGACAACGCAAATCGTCTTCATGTAAAGAAGATAAAATCTAAGGCTTATTGTTAGATATCGGATGCCAATACAAACACCGTGAAACGTGTAGAATGATGCATACGTTGCGCATTCCGATGTGTCGTATGTCTAGACGAATGCTTTCATTTATCTCGTGAACGTATTCGGAAATATGTAAGATAGATTCTTTGTAAGATACATTTTAGTCGCTTTTCATAAGCAAGCCATTGCGATACTTTTTGTCGATTTTATATTTGTTTGGAAAATTCGCGTCAAATGTCAACTTTCAAGGTTCCAAACAGCTCTAGTATGTTTTAAACACAAAGACGTTTCTCAATTAATCTAATTTTGTACGGCGATGCATATTTAACCTTTTTTTTTTCATTACATACTGCACACACGTGTAGTACTGCGAACGACGCCGTATATAAGCAACAGGTTGCTCTTAATCTATCTAGGACGCCAGATGTGGCGCGTCGATGTATGTGTTTCTTCTAGATTTAAAGACCTAACATTTTCTTTTACATTTCATTTACAATTAAAAGTGAATTACAAAACGCAAATTTAGATATTAAACGCTACAGCATTTTAAGATTTTCGTTATCGAACTTTCGGAAAAAAAATTTATAGCAATTATTATCGTTTGTCGAATTTACTTTGGGAAAAATTACGTAGACAACAATGATTCGTTAATGATCTTTTGCCCTTAACAGTATAATATTTCATCAGGCAATTTTTTTTAAACGTTGTAATAGCGAGAAAGGAACGCGGCCAGCGTGCATTCATCATAATTGACACGATTGAATCACAGTGGCTCTCAATATCACGATCCTCCAATAAACTAGTCTGACGGCCTTTCACAGAGTTTGAGAGATCGGAATGCGTGGCTCCACGTGTGCGCGATCAAAATGCTTCGTCGGGTAACCGAAAGCAAGTAAAAAAAAAGGAATAGAAGTGAAAGGTTTCGTTCGAAACTAAGGAACTCAGTAATCTCAGAAAAAAACGGACGTAATTATAATATTTTTATTGCAAAATCCTGGCAATCGAGCGATCGATCTCTTGTCTGTTCATTCATATATCGATTATCGTTTACGCGTACATATAGAAAATTGACAATTTTCTAGAAAATGTGCCTTGGTTTTGTATTTAAAAGTTGATTTTCTTGTAAGTTAACGGCCTGATAATGCCGATTCACAATACCGTGTGAAATTGCGTAAGACCAATTTTGTATTCAGATGCATAATTCATCAATTTAAATGAAATGTATTACACTCTTGAGCAGTCGTTCGAGTCGAAGATTCCAAGATATCTTTAAATATTCACACTTAAAAAAGAACTCTTTCTTCAATTGACGATATCCCGGTCGCTCGTTTAAATACCTCGATTAAAATCCTAAAGTACTTTATTTTAAACATTTTAAGCATTAAAATGACGTAAAATTACAAACTTAAAGTACCTAGAGTCTCTCTGTATATATTCTCGCGCCAAGATTGAGTTAAAAAATGGAAGACACCGGATTGAGGCAATTATGATGAAACTATGCAAATCATGATGGAACAATACAAAGTACATTTGTCGTCATAACTCTTAGTTGTGCTATGACTTATTATCAAAGTACACATTGCGCATAGGTGATACACGGCTTATGTGCAGGCACACACGCGGACAATGCGTAATGGGCAATACAAACAGCTAACGAGGACGACTGACAAAGCGACAGTCACAATGAGAATCAATCGGCTGAGTTGTAATTTTTAAAGGGCGTTTTAAGGTGCCACGAGAATAAACGTGTCCCATTGTGCGTATCGGCGTATTTCAACAACAAATAGCTTCTGAACTTATCTGAGAGAATCGCAAGGAGTGGTTTTTTGTACGCCAACGGTTCACAGCGAGCGTAAGCGGATGTTAATCAAGATAATGACTTTTAAGGGCACAGTAAATGTAATATGCCTATCAGTTTTCCTGCATTCTATGTAATTAGCGAGCAAATTGGCACAGAACGTGCCATGCAAGGATGATTTTTACGACCTCCGTTGGCATTGATATTATGGATGGATTTTATCGATATAATGTAATTAAAAATTATGATATATGTAAGATAAGATTAATTTATGAATGCTTGAATATAGTCACTTGAGCTAATGACTGAATTCATTAAGTAGGAAGTAAGAGTTAATAAGTTGATAAGACTATAAATAGTACAAGAATTGTAACAAGAGTTAAATTGATGAAAATGTGTGCTCGTTGTTTCAAATTTCGGCATTAACTTCTTCCAAAATTTAACCATTGTGGAATTGCATTCAACAAATCGGTGCGAAAAATTTCAGAATTCATAGGAAGCTCGCGTTATATTCGCGTTGCATAAGATGCACACGAGTCGTCTTTTGTTGCGTCATCTCGTCGCTCATTTGGTCCGCTGATCGCGTCACAACGGAGGCGGCGAAAAAAAACGTAACGGCGGATGTAACAGAGTCATTCGCAGATGTGCGGATTGTTACGAACATCCATTGGCATCTGTGGGTTCACATGAATGAAGTCGAATCATAGTGTATAATTCTCATACTTCCTATGCGCTTACGCGAATGAATCATCGACGAAGCTCGCGAATCACACATTGAATTTTCATACAAACGCGCACGTTACTCATTGTTGATGTGTAACACTCCATAACGAGTCATGGTGGTCTTGAGATAATAGAGTCAATTAAAAGTTTATTACATCTTCCCCAAGAACGAAGGCTATGTCGTGCAAAGCTTATTGTTAGCCGGGCTTCAACGATACTTAACATTTATCGTAGAGTTTTTACTTTCAATATAACTTCAGATTTATTGAAGTCATCTATTATTTAAATATCGAAAGAATGTATATATATATACGCACATGTGTAATTTTCGACATTAAGAAAAAGGAAAGACGAGGATGAGAACCGTCGATTTGTAAATGAGTTTCGAGTAGAGAAACAGATGCAGAAGCAAAAACACAAGGATAAAGTGGAAAGCTGGGTTCTCTCTGGGAGATTCGAAGAATACAGAGAACTGTACAAGGGCACAAGCAAGTTTTCCATTTGACATTTTCTGTCAAAGCAGTTTTCTCTCTGTAGGCCTGCGAGAATACCGAGTGAATAAAAAGACAGACAAATACAGACAATACTTTCTAGATGGTAAGATGAACTACATAAGCAAAGGAGCTTTCTGATGTTCCCAAATACGTTGCTACATTCAGCAGCTCGAAAATTCTATGCTAATACCACACGTTTCTTTATGTAGCTGTTGACTCTTCGGCATCTATACGACCATTCTTGTTTATGTATTCTTGACGTATTGACGAATACCAAAGGTTGGCAATTGAAAGCCACGAACAGTTGAAATAATTCGCTACCACAAAATGTTGAATTATGTAACAGCACGTGCCACAATAATTGCAGCAAAGATTAGAAACGATGAAAATTTAATGAAACCTTGCGCAACGAGATGTAAGAGACAATTTTTATTAAATTATTATAAAATAATGATTACTCTTGAATTTTTTCTATGTGACAAAGTATTTCCAAAAATATCTGCCTGCAATCTTAATGCTTACAATAAAAATATTTTTACTCTGAACATTTTCAATACTTTAATTATTTACAAAACAATAAAGAAAATATTTTCATTGCAAGCATTAAAAATATTCAACGAGAAAATAATTTCTTCGATTTTTGAGACACGTCTCGTATGTCGTCGGAAATAATTATCTAAATATACTAATTATTTTTCATGGGGAAAATATTTTTCTCAGCAGTTAATATCCGCGGACCCTCGAATAATATGATGCAATATCGCAATAGGTCTGTTCTTTATAGCTGAACTGGTTGCACTAGTTCAGAGTTTATCTTTCTCCTTCCAATTTGGAGGGAAAAAGATAAACTCTGAACTAGTGCAACCAGTTCAGCTATAAAGAACAAACCAATTGCATCATACTATTCGAATTTTAGCTAAATGACCGTAAGAACGTACAGCGCGCATCCCAAAATGCACTGCGGTCAAGTGAGTGGGATCACGAAATTTTTCTCCTTCCACGATCTCCCTTCCGGAGGGGGGAGGAGAGGGCAACCCCATATGTCGAGGGGGTCCCCTATCGCCGGACCAAATGTCGTTGTAGAAAGGATGATCGTGGTAACGGTAGTAACGTGAAGCGGACGGCGCACAGCACGTACTATAATGCACCGACGGCACGCATTGTAGCACTCGAGCGGGGAGCGCGCACTGTGGACCCCTCCGACGATACCCTTCCCCATGCTCGGACCCATTCCCCCTCGCCCTATTCCCTGTGTGCGTTCGCCGCTCTGGCGGTCCCGCGGTACCCCCCTGCCGTCTCCTTCGCCCCTCGGCTCTCCCCCCTTAACGACACAACAAACAACCGCGACTTCTCGTCAGCCGCCGCTCAAGATATCGCTGCGGCGCGTACACGCTCGTATAACCGCACATGCACGCATTCACGCTGTCGACACACCGGCGCTCGACGTCGCGGCAGTTTCTCACAGTATTTCCTGTGAGAGAAAAAAAAATGCGGGAACGGAGAGAGAGAAGGATAACACGCAATTTATTCCTTCGCGAGAGAGGAACAGAAGCGAGGGGGAACACCTAGAGCGGGACACCGAGCCTCACCGCTGTACAATTTTGTTTCGCATCGCGCGTGCATAGAAACCGGGAATGGAGGGGGGGCTTTGTCGGGTAGGGGGACGGAGGAAAAATGAGAAAGAGAGAGAGAGAGAGAGAGAAACAAGAGGGGGATCGGCACGATTGACAGTTGGTAGTTAGTATCGCTTCCTCGATACGCGACGGCGGTGTGCAACCACGTTGCGTACACCGGAGTGCCTTCGATCTCACGGTACGGTCCTTCGAGGAAAAAGAAAAACGGGTTGGGAGGAATTGCGTTTTCGAGAAGGGAACATCTACGAGACGGAACCGGCGGCTTTATAGCTGTTTATCTTAACGCGTGCCCCGCGGTCGCGAACGGACGGCCGGGACATTTGAGAGAAAAAGAAAGAGGAGCTAAAAGGATACCTACAAGCGCATCAGGACGATATGTTTGTTTACGCGTGAAGGCCAAATACCGGTGGAGCGCAGGAATTCCTCGGATAGTCGCTGAAGAAAATATATATACCGCGATCGGATCCTGGTGGAATAATTACATAAGAAATTCTTCAGCTAATGAGATTGACAAAAACAAAAATCATGCGAGAGTACAATTGTTGAATGAATTATCCAAGATTGCGGAGAGAAGAGGAGGACATCGGCGAGGACCAAGAAGAAGCGGAAGAGCGACGGGGGGATAAGAGAGACGATTCGGGGAGACGGAAGCAACGGAGACACGAACCCGGTGCCCTTCGCGCTCCCTCTCGCACCGACGCTTTATTACCCGTTCAATGATTCATGCGAACGCGTGAGCCGGGCCGATCTCTCGCAGAAGGAACTGGAACACGTCGAGGACTCGTCGGGAACTCGTCCAGCGCGCGGTTCGGTGACCGATCTTGAACGGAGAGTCGAGGGGAGGCAGGACCCCCCGACGGGGATAGAGAATTACGGTGAGAAAGAGAGGCAGCGAAAGAAGGGCACGAAAGGAGCGAGCGAGAGGGAGACAAAGAAGGGGGGCAGAGGGGAAGAGCGCAACAGAGGAGGAAGGCGAAGCGGCAGGGCACCGCGAGTGAAGGTGAGACGGGCTACGGGGAGGGGGGAGGGAAAAAAGGAGGGAGGGCAGAGAGGCACGCCGCGTGGACAACCGTGCACGCTCGTGTCTCTCTCTCGTTTCGTTTTGCTGCCTTCGTTCGCGCGAGAGCGCGGTGGATGAGCTACGCTCGTTAGTGCCGGTTGATGGTACGTCTTCGGTGAGTCGTCGTTAGAATCCGCGCGCTGAGAGGAGACCTGACCTCCTCCGGAGGATCGCACGTGGTGTCCGGTGGTGGTGGCGGTGGTGGAGGCGGTGGTGGAAACCTCCTCGTCACCTTCGGCGTCGGGGTGGTTTGAGAGAAGAGTGTCGTAAACGTTCTTCGTCCTCTCCTCGTCGACGTTTTTCCCTTCGTCGACATTTGTCCTTCTTGCGACTTGACAAGTAATAATCCCCGGCGCGATCATGTACAAGCTGCTCGCCGGGCTAGGCAAATACCTGAAACGCCAGGAGATCACCACGGACTCGATGGTGTTCCGGATGCACAACCACTTCACGACGGTGCTGTTGTTCACGTGCTCGCTGCTGATCACGGCCACCCAGTACGTCGGTAATCCGATCTCCTGCATCGTCCAGGGCCTGCCCACGCACGCCATCAACACTTACTGCTGGATAACGTCCACGTTCACCATGCCGGATGCGTTCAATCGACAGGTGCGTGATTTTCGATTGTGTGTTCAATTGTCGCTGCGATCTTCGCGATCCAGCGGGAGAACCGCCGTCCCTCGATTCATACTCCCCTGGTCGACTGACATCGCTACATGATTTACATTAAGCTGATTTGCGTTAGAGAAACTGAAGGAGCAGCGTATTCTGCATTTTAATGCAAAATAATTTTTGCATTGGAAAATCCTTTATAATGTCAAGGTGAGCAGCACTGGAGCAAGCCGTTACTCGCGATATTATTGACGATGCATTATGAATGAGAATAATTTTAAAAACACAGCTTGTCAAGAAATTTCTATTTTTCGCATTTATGCAATGCCGCTTTATGTTGAATCTTCCATAATTTATTTTGTAATTTAAAGCACTCTGTATTTTTTACTAAAAAAATTCAATATTTCTGATAACTTTTGATGAAAAGCGATCGATCAAGTATTCTTAGAGAAGTTAAAGTCGCTTTAAGAAGAGACGCAGATAAATGTAGACGTAGCATATTTAATTAAAAGTTCCGCGCAAGTGTTTGTTAGCTTTGTTGCAACAATGTATTCTATCTCGTACGTGAGATAAAACTCGTAGTAAACTCATTTATCATAAAATTACACGGTCAATTTAAAACTATTTAAAAAATGCATTTTTAAGTATTACTTTTTTTAATAAGAATTTAATGACAGTATTTTTGTAAAATACTGTACACATCAATTGTTCCAAGTTTTATCTCGTAGTATTACTTAATTAGAGTTTATTTTCAGATTGTTCAATAAACGAAGTATGAATATATATCTTTATTGCCATAATATCGACAAGTTGATTAAAATACTGATAATATTATTAGCTGACGGCCTATCAAAGTTGTATATATGTAAGCAATCGTAAGGTGTTGTGTATTCTCTGATATATGTATTCGTGAAATTAATGGCATCTGCAAGTGGATAAAATTTCTGTCTAAAATGCAAAAATTCGATACAGCGGTCGGTTATAATGCTACTTTACGTTGCATGAATAATAATAACGAGCTTCAGTTATATTAAAATCTTTTTCGACAAATTTTTAAATAAATTCCAGAGACGTATCATAGTTTCTCCTGTCTCGTTGCATCACACTATATATATGATACTTTCTTGATACGTGATACCGTTTCAACGTTAATAGAGAATTATTTGTCACGTTTATAGCTTTGAGCCAATAAGTCAGCAGCTGGTAATATAATCAGTTTGATTTCCATATGCGATAACCTCGATATGTAGTTTCGTATATCCTTTCCATATCATTTTTGAAATTCGTAAAAAAATGTCGCTTATAACATATGTTTAATAGTCACAGTACTATCAGTAATCTATTATTGTTTTAAATAAATCAATAATTAAGTAAATTTCGTGATTAATTAATTAATTGAATAAATAATTGAAATAAAATATATGATTGAATAAAATATCGAGAAAGTAGCATTTTTTCGGAACATTCTAAATTTATCAACGTTAATTATTAAGCAGAAATAAATGTGATTACAGCTAATGAAGCGAAGATGATTAATTAAAAGAGAAATGTGTCTTACAACAAGATATAGCAAATTAACTGTGTCATACGTTTATTACTGAAAATATTAAAAAATTTCTCTGCAAAAGTATTAATCAATACAAATGCTATAATTTGTGCAATTTCTTCCACTTTGAATCGTACTTTGAAGTTAGCCAATAATGTAATGTATGTAAACTACGCAATAAATGCATAATTGATGCAATTACGTCAATCGCATATTTTTTTACATACGCGCAGATTTCTTTACTTTGCACGAAATTGAAGATTGCTTCCTGCAATATAAACAGACGTTTTTACAAATACATATTAACTGATTATCTGTAATTAGCTCGTCATTTACTTTTTCACGCAGTCATATAAGACATAAATCAAATTTATATCGACAGCGGTGAAAAAATACGAAATAGAAATATTAAGGCCTGATCTACAATGCGCTTCTTGCGTACTGTTTCTTGCTCTCTGCCTTTCGTATTTTTGCTTTTATGTGTTTGTCGCATGGAGTCGAGAAACACCGTGATTTCTTCTTTCTGAATTTCCGAAGAAAAATATGCCTTAAAGGCAAAAAGGCAGAAAGCAAAAATCAAAAAGCAGATTAACTCCTGATGAAACCGTATAGATCGGACATTCTCATTATCAATATTTCAAGGATTCAAATAATTTTTTCGCGCGCACGTAGTCGTGCAACGCGGGTGCATATCGCATTGTCATTATTATCGTCTCACAATCACTCTCGTATCGTGTGTCCACAGATCGGCTTGGAGGTCGCTCATCCAGGAGTGTCGAACGACTTTGGAGACGTCCATGCGAGGAAATACTACACGTACTACCAGTGGGTCTGCTTCGTGCTGTTTTTCCAGGTAGGCAGTTTTATCAACGATCCAGCACACGTGCGATGCGACGTGTGTATCGAGTCGCGCGCGGGCTAGGACAAGAGAGAGTTCTCAGTGTCTTTTCTTTGTGCTCTCATCTGTCTGTCTTTCCACTGACTCGTGCTTATCCTTCATATCTGGCGGCCGACTGCGACTCACGTGGTGACTTATGCGTGGGAGGTCGTGTGTTCACACAGATGTGCTCGTTCGTAAAGATTCACTTTGTCCAAAGTGGACGAATTGAAAGTTGATCGACCCTTGAAATTATTTTTCAATAACTTGCGAGTTTTTATTTTTCTAAATTTGGACAGCAAAAATGTAGGAAATTTGTAGAAATTGCGAAAGAAGTGCGATGCAACTGATGTTAAGAAAGGACCAACGAGATCTAGATTTAGCAAGCGGTGCGCAAAAAAATATTTATTTACTTTAATTAATTTAAATAACGAATTATACTCTTATTTACTATAATAGGCGACTTTGTGCTACGTACCGAAATGGCTGTGGAGTTTCTGGGAGGGCGGCCTGATGCAGACGTTGGTTATGGGAATGAATCACGGCATGGACACCAAGGAAAATATAGCGAAAAAGAAAGGCGCTCTTATGGAATACTTGCTGATGCACATCAGGGTAAGAATAAATATCAGTTCGTAAATCTGATTAATTAGAGTTTCGTGTTCGTCAGACATAAAGTATTTAGAATATGATAATGTGCAAAAAGTTTTTTGAAGACGCGCGATGACTGTGATCTCTATCTTTTATCTAACACATATCTTATTCTTGGTGGTCGTGGATGGCTACTCACTGGTTTACATTTCAACGAAGTCATTTGTTATCGTTGGCTGTTACATATCTCCCAGCGTTAAAATGTTTAATAAAACGTGTTCGGAGATTAGATCTAGGTTTATAAATAATTGAATTTAAACGATAAGAAACGGCGGTGGATAATTCTTGATAGAATAAATATGGATTAATTTCACAAGATTTTGTATAAACGTAAAGATAAACAGCAGGTTTTAATCCGAATCGATGTTTGAAATATCTGAATCGGTGTTTTTAATATGTTTTTTTGTTTCTCGTAGGTGCAACGAATTGAGTTTGCACTTTACAACGCGCTTGCTGCATTTATTAAATAAATAGATTAGTGCGAGATGTCGCGGTGCCGTTTAGGCGGAATGCTGGAGGATGCTCGTGAGAGGGAGGGAGCGAGGGAGACGACCGCGTTAAGTCCAATTCGCCTTCATTGAGTCTAATTCGCCTTAATTCAGCGACGAATTGTACTTTCAGAGTCACAACACGTACGTGTATCGGTACTTCACTTGCGAGATCCTGTGCCTCATCAACATATTCGGCCAGCTGTATCTGATGAATCGATTCTTCGACGGCGAATTCTTCAGCTATGGTCTGCGAGTGCTGCAGCTCTCGGACACGCCGCAGGAGGAGCGGATCGACCCGATGGTCTACGTGTTCCCCCGCGTCACCAAGTGCATCTTCCACAAGTACGGTGCCTCCGGCTCGATACAGCAACACGACTCCCTTTGCATACTGCCGCTGAACATCGTCAACGAGAAGACGTACATCTTCATCTGGTTCTGGTTCTTCATACTGGCCCTCATGTTCATCATCGTAGTGGTGTACAGAGCAACGATCATCTTCGCGCCGAAGATACGGCCGAGATTGCTGCATTTGTCGACGAGACTGCTGCCGATCGAAACCTGCCAGAGTATCAGCAGTAAGGTCGACCTCGGCGACTGGTGGATACTTTACATTCTCTCGTCCAACATGGACTCGCTCCTTTACAAAGATTTCTTAATGGAGTTCACGAAGAAGATGGGCAACACCATTTCGAGGCCCGTGTAAGCGCGAAGAAGCTTCGACGTAGCTATGTATAGTACGAGAATTACTTAGCTTAAATGCCAATACGGACTGACTCGCGTCTCGCGGCGTGCTTTCCTCCCAATCGCGGGTTTCCTGCAAGTATTTCCGCGCCATTGCGCTAGGGTCCGCGTAGATGTATCGTAACGTTACACAACATTGTTATATGCGAAGGGAATTGAAATTTAAACTGGACTTCGTAACGATTTCTGCGGCATACTGATTCAGAGTTACCGTTCAACCTTCTAACTTTTAACTACTGTATGAATATATAAAAATATCACTGTCAAAGTCAATCACGTTGTTGTCATCATTGGTGTTCTTCTTTGAGATCATTAATTTATTCAAAAGTTAGAAGAATGTTCTGAATCACTTTGTGCATGTTTTCCTCTTTCAAAGCGGTCCATTTTAAAGATAGGCATGTATTTCACTTTCTTTTTCAGTTTTACTGAAATTTGTTATTTATATTGCATATATGTCCATTCTCAAGAAGGATTCTTTAATTCGGTATATTATAGCGTAGGCCGCTTGAGAAAAATTAATGCAATAAAATTATACTCAATTATATCAATAAGATTTGTAGTAAATTAATAGGATGTTTAAGGTGTAAAAGAGCAACAGAGTTCATCCCGAGAAGAGATTATTTCGAAAAATAATTCTACTGTAAGTTTAACATGCATGTGAACAACAAATAGAAATCTAGCTCAACCGTGACACCCGTCATGTATATAATATAATAGACACATAGGGATGTTTTTCTCTTTGCTTTAAGTTTTTTTTTGTTATTAAAATTCAAATAAAAAGAAATAAAAAAGAAAATATTTTGCCTTCGAAAATATTATGTGATTGAATTAGAGCTTTTTTTCTTTCTGAATAGGCACTGTCTTTATATTTTTTTTCTTTTTTTTTGGAAGTTAAAATATAAATTTTATAGTTTGAGATAAAACATTCTTTATCAATAGATTTCTGCATGACTTCATTTCACGAAAGCATTTACGTCCGAAAATTATTGTCATATTACTTTATCAAATAATTATTTTAATTGTGTAAAAATATTTTTTTTTACAAATTTTATCGATTGCTCAAAGCTTATTAACAAAGCGTCTTTATTGATTTTTACTTCGTTCCCATAATCGTATTTAATAATTCGGTTCGTCGACCGTGACGACCTTCGAAAAAAATGCAGCATGTAATCTAACTGTTAACATCAGATTAAACGATTTCCGTTGCTTGCTTGCATAAAATGACCGATGAAGTTGCAACTTATCGTGACGCGCATGTTACGGCTCTGTGTAGTATTTTTAGTGAAGTTTATTTATCCGACGAGACAGATATTTTATGAATGGTACACGCATCGTTGCTACTATCTGCATGCCAATTATAGAAGAAGACGCTATTTGAGAGAAATATGCGATTCGGTGTCGCACACTAGTTTCTCTGTTAGGATTCTCCAATTATAGTTTTAATGACAGAATTTTTTTCATTTTTCCACAACTCGTGATAAACAAAGTTTTTATGTGACTAAAGTATTTACAGTTGGTACTTAAAATTATATACATTAAAAAGTTATAATAAATAGATTTTCCGTTATTCTTTTTCAGTGAGAATCAATTCGAAATTTATTGGGGAATCTATTATTGAAATTAAGGTCGAGAATTCTAATACCATCCGGCATATAATTTAAAATACATTTTTTCTACAATTAACGGAGAGCCAATTACTCTCGCATTATGGCTCGGCCATGTTCAAGTGTGCGCACGTGTACGTGTCTGTATACTTTCATTGCTAACCGATTGCGTCATTTTAACCGCAGGAAAATCGTGTTTACATGGCACTGCGCGACCAATAATGGTCGTGACACGGTCACACGTGGCACGATTAAAAGCGCCGTAAAGAAGTTTCTCTTTTTCTTAGGTTGTTTTAACGATTGCGTAGGCACTCGTCCATCGGTCGCATTTATGCATCATCTGTATTTACATATTACCCTTAAGATGTGATAAAAAATAGTAGTAACATTCGAGAGAGATTAAAAATCAAAATCTTTGGAAGAAACAAGTTACTTTAATACCGATTCATTCGTTTTCAAGTATCGGTAATTTGTGAGCAAGATTTCTTACCCATTTGTGTTCCACGGACAACACGTCGTTGTCGGACAAGACTTCCACTTGGAATCGTGGATTCGTTTATTCGCAACTTCGTAGTATAAGATTTATTATATCTAAGAGTAAAGATGTGTGTAAAGAATAAATTCTGAATGATCTAAATCTGAACTCATGTTTTTTCTTACTTTAAGTAACGCGGAGATTTTAATGTGACTACATGCCGACATTGTCGCATTGACACTAGAATTCTAATGTCTACAATACGTGTAGTGAAGAAGAAGAAATCTATAATCTCTTTTTTCGCGATTATCTTGCATCTGATAAAAGTTCGTACGCGACGATGAGCTTCACCGAAACGATAAAAGTTAATGTCCAATTTTGCATTGTATGCACTTACGCGTGAGAAAGGATAATTGCGCACATTCAATTTTTTATTTGTTTTTTAAGCTGTGTCTAATAACGAAATTATCGAAAAAATTGAGCTATACGAAATAATAATGAATATGTTAAAATCGAGAATAATCATAAATATTGAATATTGTAAATATTTTCCTAACATTTTCAAAGATTTTATGTGCCTCATGTTACATGATATTTTAGATGCAACATTTTGCAAATCACAGATAACAAATAAATGATTACTTACCCTGCTGTTTCGCTGGTGCCCGATGTTTCTCTCGAGTCTCTTCTCAGCGATTTCAGGATACTCACTTGCACTCGAAACGGTTTATTCCGATCGTGCTATACTTCAAATGATATTTCTAACGCTTTTCCGACGGGTGATAACGGGACGATAGAATGCGGCGAGGACAAGGTTGTGCCGATCTCTGGAAGAAATAGGGAACAACAAGATGTGAATCAATAACACAAGAGCGAGTGAAAAAGGGAATATAGATCTTATAAACTATCACGGCGACAGAAACAAATCCTGTGGCATTTTAGGGAACAATGAGATGCAGACTGATACATATCGCAAGAGAGAAAAAGATGGAATCAAGGGATACAAAGCACGCAGACTAATCTTGGTGACGAAAGCAATGCCTGTGACAGTTTTGGTGGGGTTTTCATCCCTTAACCTGCATACTCTGTATCCCCTTTCTCTCTCTCTCTTTCGCCCTCTTGCGCTATGTACGGTCTGCATTTTGTTGTTTCTTAAGCCTGATCTACTGCTTCTTGCGTATTATTTCTTCTGCTCTCTGCCTTTCGTATTTTTGCTTTTTATGATGTTTGTCGCGTGGAGTCAAGAAACACCGTGATTTACAATTTCTCCTTTCTGAATTTCCGAAGAAAAATATGTCTTTACATAAAGGCAAAAAGGCAGAAAACGAAAATCAAGAAGCATATTGTAAATTAAACTTTACTCCCGGCATTCTTCTAAACGACACAACCTTGTCCTTGCAGCATCCTATTGTTTTACTATCATCTGCATGTCGGAAAATCGTCAGGGATATCATTTAAAGTATTGCATGATCGGAATTAACTGTTCTGCGAGTGAATGAATGCAAGTGTGCGCCCTAAAATCATTGAGAAATGGAGGAGGAGGAGGAGGCTCAGGAAGAGAATCGAACACCGGCGGAGCAATTTTAAGGTAAGTAATTATTTGTTTCTTTTCAGTGATTTATAAAATGTTGCACATAAAATATCATGTAATGTAATGCATATAAAATCTTTGAAAATTTTAGTAAAATATTCCATAAAATATTTACAATATTTATGATTCGATTTTAACATATTTATTATTTCGTAAAGTTCAACTTTTTTCGATCAGTTTTTCATTGTACATTAGCTTAAAAAACGAACAAAAAGTTCATGGTGCGATAATTCTTTCTCGCACGCAAATACTAATTATTTTACACACTTTTAATAATCTGGAAGTACTTACTTTTATATTTTACAGAGCGGCTTTCTTTTCAGGTCAACAAAACAACAATTTCGCGCATTGTATCAATGAATAAATCTAATTTGTCTTTATTATTATTAAGATAATGAATCTATAATGTAAGACATATATTCTAGAAATTCTAGACTGTATGATATTGTTTTTATAAAAGTTTTAGTCTCGCGCATTTTTCAAAATATTTGAAATTATGTATGCATTAATTTCCAGAAGAACAAACTATTTATTATTTTGATAAATTCCTATCGATGATGGTTGAACACGAAGTAATGTTGATATTGATCGACCATGGTTAATAGTCAACTATCAACACGAATTTCGGACGAAAATAGCGAAAACAGTCAAGCTCTGTGCATTGTGAAAAATTTTCGATATTTATTGTCCTTGAAAAAATAATAGGCTTGTGGGTTTTTAACGGAGAACTTGCTGGATCGTATTTTTGTTTACACCGAAATGGGAAAAATATACGGTTTTATGATCAATTTACTGAACGGAATCGCCGAGTATAACTCGTGTCGCGATACAGTAGAATAATTTTGAAAGGGTATCAAATAAATACGAAATATGATTTATTCTCGCAATCAATTGGGCTTCGCATGTTGACCTGTAGATGTTGGGAAATTCCACCTAAAAGTCATTAAACATATAGATTTATGCATGATGCATAGATCACATATTTGATTGAAGTGTAAGATCTTTCGTAAGATAGTTTCGCAATGTAACGACTGTTTGCGTAATCTTCAGAATTTTTTTGCATTGTCATCTTTCAGTCTGGAACAAAATGATGTAAGATGATTCATGATGTTGACGCGAGTTTTCACACGTGGACTTTTTTATTGCATCATATTGAAATACATGAATGGGTATTTTAATATCCATTCATGTATTTCAATTTTATTTTTCATTTTATATTGCAAAAATTGAAGACTAGACACTAAATGTAATGTTTCGTTTTCCGGATAAAAGATAACTTTAATTTATTAAAACTTTATTAAATGCAATAAGCAGAAATGTAGATTATAATTTTAAATTTGACTGATTCATATATTTTGTTTGCTAAATTTTAATTTAAGAAATTATATTATATTATTTATAGACAGTAAAGCTTTTAATTTGTGCAGAATTGTCGTACTAAGTTTAATAAAAATCGACGAAAATATGTGTAGTTTATATAAATATTTAAAAATAGAAGTGTATACGGTCATTAAAAAGTAATGTTGAAACTGCCTGTAAGATATGGTTGCTTTCGTATTCTGCCAGATAGATGTAAAACATTTGTTTTACCAGAAACATTAACGTTTCCAGCATTGGCGATTAAGATCAGTACTACGTAATCGCATGTGATTTGATGACGCATTTTGCACAAGTCTGTCTGTGAATAAATAAAACTTCAAGCAGCTGACAGTCACGCATAACAGACAGACTGTAACTACACTCACCCGAAAAAAAAGCGGTACACTGAAAATGTGGGAAAAATTCATCAAATTTCAACTGACGATAACTTCGTAAATAATAAAGATAGAAAGTTCTATAAAATATGGAAATGAAGCTAAAAATCTCTACTTTAAGAATCAATTTATTTCAATGTTGCAAAATAAATTTATTGAAAATGGCGGATGACAAAGCGCGAGCATGCAAAATTGAAAAATAATGGTTCGAGTTTGCGACGGTGCACGGTATAAACAAAAAATTGTAGCTTATTGGGATCAAAAGCGTACGAAAGTACAGAGTCTCCTCTTTAAAATGCTTTTTTATGCATCTCGATACGATGATTTTTCGCCGAGAGATTCGCATTTGAAGAAAAAGGCAGATTCTTACTTCAAATGCGAATCTCTCGGCGAAAAATCATCGTATCAAGATGCATAAAAAAGCATTTTAAAGAGGAGACTCTGTACTTTCGTACGCTTTTGATCCCAATAAGCTACAATTTTTTGTTTATACCGTGCACCGTCGCAAACTCGAACCATTATTTTTCAATCAATGTTTTGCATCCGAAGGAGATGTCTGCAGATCTTTTGTGATTTCTCCGCCCTGACTTTTTGTTTATGCTCGACCGCACATTGCGAGAAGAGTGCTTGATTTCTCTTGATTTTTTTCTTTCGAGACGCGTTACTTATTCGTACGACTTCGTCAAAGTAAACAATAATTAATCTTTTCGCATTGAAATTATTGGTCAATTATGGCGACGATAAGTCCTGAAAAAGCTGCTCAAGTTGTAGCGTTAATTGAAGATGGGAGAAGTCGAAGGTACGTTGCTGAGGCACTTGATTTATCAGTGTCAACCGTGCAACGTGCTTATGCTAGGTACTTGGAGACTAATTCTGTCCAAAGAAGACCTGGTTCGGGACGTCCTCGTTGTACGAATGAAAACGATGACCGATTTATTGTTTTAAATTCATTAAGAGACAGACATCGAACGGCTGTTCAAATTCGAAACAATTTAAGAGATGTCCGCGAATGTAATGTATC